GCAGCACCAGAGATTTCTCCTTGGCCTGTTTTCTCACCAAGCATAGACAGCAGCACCAATGGGAAAAGGGCTTGAAGCACTACAAGAACTTGTTAAGTCAATGGACAGGGCAAACTGTAAGTGACTTGCCATTGGGAAATGAAAGCAGAATCCACAAGCCCTCAAACTAAGACCCTCGATCTTAAAATGAAACATAGTAATGTCGTTTTTTACTGGGGCTTAAAGCAATATACAAACTTCGAATCTGGAAGACAAAAGCTTCAATGTTACCAAGTCTTCAAAGTCTGCTATCTGGCTTCTCTGCCAGGTTTACATCTGGTAATTTCACCAGAGAGGTAAGTAATTTAGGCAAGAAAACCCTGTCATAACAAGCGGTCATAACAGGTTGTAGTACTCCTTTCATTCTGTGGTATGGAGCTCACTCACACAGAGAGCTGAGCTCACAGCCTTTCTCCTGGATCAACTTCTGCTACTTTTTGACTGTGGGACATCATTTGGCTCTGAAATAAAATAGTCTGCACGGATCAAAAAATGACTGTTGCAGATCTGGAACTTTATGTCCATCTCTCTGAAAGAGCAAGTAAATGATGCCACTTTCATGACTTTAAATCAGAAAACTAATTATAGATGTAATTCTTGATCACCTGTCCAGTTCAAAATGTGCTCTGATTCAATTTTACCTCTCAGCTCTGCAGCTCAGCAGCTACCTTAGTGATTTTGTTTTTCAATAAATCCTGTAAATGAATCCTTTTTACCCTGAAAACCAGTGTGTTAGCACTCAGATAATTGATGCAGCTATTGATGTATGTACCCAGAGCTATGTTATTCACTTTTCTTTCCCTCAATTCCATTTTCCCCCCCCGTATTGAGTCAGGATTAAGGAGTCCATGTGTGTGTGTGTGTAGGTAGTTCTTTTTAATAAACTCAGTGCTAGAGGTCACATTTATAGGCTCAGTTTATACAGTAATCTTTAAAAACAACCAGCCCAAGCACTGGAAAACACATAGCAGGGGTTAGTCCTGTCTTGGCAGAGAAATAGGCTTGATTTATTAATAGCTCTTATTTAAGTCTCATTTCCATGCTTTTATGACTACATTGGGTTTTCCCCTTACATGGGCACATGTCAGAGAAGTAATGGAGCAAGAGAAGAGACAAGCCCTTTTTCAGTTCACAGAACCCCAATTCTTTATTAATCACAGCTTGCTCACAATGACATACAGGAAAATAGCACTAATGAAGAGTAGGATATGCAGGCAGCAACCTCCTGGGGAGTAGGGACAACTTCAAAACTGCAGCTATTTTGGGGATGATGTGTTAGGTTTGGTGATACTGTACTTGGCACAAGCACCCTGTCTAGTCATTCCTCCTGCTTCAGCCCTCTTAGTCCTAGGTGTCGGTCACTAGGTAGGGTTTGCTAACACTGAAGAGTAAAGGTCATGATGAATGGAAGTCAGCAGTGTCAAAAAAAAAAAAAAGGTAACAACTGGCTCATGGGTTCCAGGTGAAATATTCAGTAGCCTTTTGTACTGTTACGCATGTAATGTGGTAGCATCAGATAAGTATCATAGATCATGGCACCTACAGATAAAGCCACTTGATGCTATCTATTAGTTAGTTGCTCCATCAATAAATTTTCAAGTGGTGAATTAAGCTCACTTTACAATTAGCATTTGTATGGCTGTTGGCATCATCCAGAATTTGCCATAGCTTGATGGTTACAATGTGCCTCATAAACTTGTCTCAAACTGATCCTACTTGCTTTCATTCTGTTGCACAGATGTTTTTGTTGCCTCTTACCTCAAAAAGCAGAAGCAACAAATACTCCACCTGATGATTTAACCTCAATTATACAGCACACTACAGAGTCCTGCAGCATAAATTGAAAAAACATTTTAAGAGCCTTTTGTCTTGGACAGCTGAATGTAAAGTCACAATACCTGTGATCTAGTCACTGTTTCAAGAAAGCTTATTGATGGCAAAGCAGTCTAGGTTATTAGGCAATGACTGGTCTCTAGCACCATAGAACTACTACTGACCTCATGGTGGGTTGGAATGAAAAGTCACAGGGAATGGAATTAGACATGAGGTGCTTCAAACGAACAGATCCAGCAAATTCAACCGAGTGGAAATAGACAACATCAGAAGCCTGTTACAGGACATGTAAGATTATGAAATAACTTGCATAATGCAATAATTGTATTTTTTAACAAAAATGTAAGTATTTACAAAATAAGATCCAAGTTTTTTAAACATCAAGCAAATCATTCTGCAAAGAGACCGCATCAATTGTGTTTTTATTTTTGTTTCTTTTTTTTTTTTTTAAAGTTTTTTATTGAGTTCTTGATTTTTATTTTTTTTTTAAACCATGTCATACATTTCCCATACTGATATCGCATGATCCATAATAATATAGGCAGGGGGAGTTTACTAATGGTGGGGGTGGGTCACATCCACCATTGCTGTTTTCAGCCAGACAGTTCCACCTGGAGCTCCTTGTTTCTACGGACCTCTGCGGCATGCCTCTCCTGGAAAACATCAAGAAGGGAAAAATCAAACCTTTTTCTCATTTTGCCTGCCCAGGGAGGCTCATGCTGACAACCCATTTAGGTCATGCATTTGATGCTTGCACAAAACTTGTTTCACAGCACAACCACCTTTGAAGGATTCAACTCAGGAGAGGTGTCATCCACCAGACCAGCCTGAGGCATGTTCAGTGCTTACTTCCTACTGCTGCTCTGGAGCTCAGTCTTTTTTGTCTGATATGGCCTTATAATCGCCAGCATCTCACAGAGTTTCATTTCAAAAGACCTCATAGCAAGCGGCTGCTTGCAGCATAAAATGTGCCATGAGATCACATCTGCCCTTTGATTTCCTGGATATTAAAGTAAATATAGGGAAAGGTGACTGGGGAAATAATCACCTTCATGTTGTATGCAGAAGAAGTGTTAGTTACTGTGTTATCTGTAGCATTTAGGAACCAGAAAAAAAGGTCCAAGAATTTCATTCCACCAAGATGGGTTAGTTTGAACGTCTCTAATATCCCCCTACTCTGAACACTTAAGCTACGTACCCTCTCCATTCTTTCTTTGGCTATGATGAAGAAGGGACATGGTTCCCAAAAATCAATGCTAAGCTCTTCTGTCCACTTTCAGTGATATTGTCTTTTCTTTTACAACAGCAGCTGTAATTAGTTTAACCTTATTTGAGACACTGTTTATTCAGATACTTCTGTGGAAATGGGCCTGTGGTCAGGAACAACTGTCAAATCTATTTAATAATGTTCTCCTTAGGATGTTTATAAAACTATTATTTTCAGCAGATTCTGGGGTTTCGGGTTTTTGGTTTACACCTCTTCCCTTTCAACTGTCAAACTATCAGACTTTTATCTCTTGTGTCTGATCCCCTTAAAAAACTCCCAGAAAACTAGATGACAAGAACAAGGTGACAGCAGAAGCAAATGTCCATCCTTAGTTGACTTCAGTTTAAGACACTGCCTAGGTATTTCCATGCATTAGAGGGTATTTTCTGGTAAAAAATTCACAGAAGTCAACAGTTATCTTTTTATTATCTGAGTTGGACTGTGGACCACAGGCCAAAATAGCTTATTTCACCCACTGAACCTGTAAATCAGTTCTGAATGCTAGATTTCATAAGGGACTTGTTCCTTGGTGTTCCTATTAGCTGCAGCATAAAAAAGTTCTCTTTGATTGCAGGAACTTCTAGACACCAACACCTTGGGGCATCCACAGTTCTGTGCAACTTTGGAAGACTTGGACACAGATATCTCGCTTCTCTTCCGGTATATTCAGGATTCACTCTTGTGTTGGCAAAAATGTATAGTCATACAATTTTTAACTACTGGTCAGTACAAATGTTGCCAAATGAGCTACTGTCATCTTTGCTCAGAAGCCTTCCTTGGGCTTCATGCATATATGACATCATACTTTTGTGGAAATGGGGTTTAACAGTCTGTTAACATTAATCAAGGACACAGAGATGTTTCAGCTGTTCTTCCCATTTCCTTTTGGACCTCAAGGATGACTAATTGAATTTTTCCTTTGTTTTCATAAGCTCTGGGATAAGTGCCTAAAAACTAATCTAATGCAAAAATATAAAGTAATCTGAGTATAGTTCTTAAGATCAAGAATTACCCTGTTTGCATAGTTATTTGTAACCACATCCTTTGGGTTTTGTTGTTTCTTTACTACTCTCCAAGACTTTTGTCTCCATCAAAGATGTTGAGGTGCTTATAAAGATCTCCTTGAATATCTCTGAGAGCTATTGCCTTTCTGTTAGTCAATTTACTAACACATTAGAAAGTTTGTTATTGAGGGCAACAAGTGATCACTCATGCAGAACGAATTGTTTTTTCTTAACACTTCTAAACCTTCATTTGCATGTTCCCCTATTTTGTGAAAGGGGTTTTTGAGAAGGGCACACTTGGTTGCATGGGCGGTTTGTGAATTCCCTATTTCCTCTGACTGCAAAGAAGATCTCCACAAAAAAATTCACTCTCTTTCTTTCAAGACTTGTGGAAGGACAGACACCTTTTGCCATATATGGAAGAATTTTCCCCCATATTTTTTCCTCTTTATCCTCTGAGAAACCAAAAACTACAGACATAGGATAATTGTTTGATTTGATCAATGACTTCTCCTAGAAAATGAAATGTAAACACAAGTGACCTTTCCTTTTTTCACAGCCCTTCTTAAAAGCTAGAAAATCAACCTTTCTCTGGAGACAGTACATCAGGGCCATGAAGATTAAGGCCATGAAGATCTCTCAGTTCTCTCCTATGAGGAAAGGCTGAGAGAGCTGGGACTGTTTAGCTTGGAGATGGCTCAGGGGGATCTCACAAATATCTATAAATACCTGAATGGAGGGTGCACAGAGCTAGGCACTTCTCAGTAGTGCCCAGTGACAGGACTAGAGACAATGGGCAAAAACAGAAACACAGGAGGTTCCCCCCGAACATCAGGGAACACTTTTTCATTGTGAGGGTTACCAAGCACTGGCACAGGTTGCCCAGAGAGGAGTTGGAGTCTTCATGTTTGAGGATATTAAAAAGCCACCTGGACATGGTCCCGGGCAACCAACCCTAGGGGCTCTGCTTGAGCCAGGGGGTTGGATCAGATGAGCTCCAGAGGTGCCTTCCAACCTCAACTATCCTGTGATTGTGTGAGTGGTGGCTTAGATAAGCATCAGGGGCTCTGACTAAAAGCACAACATCTCTGCAAAATGTTGATTAGATTCTCCTCTGTAGTCTAAGAGGAAGAGGGATGGTGTGGTTACCTTCTCTTGGAGACGTTCAATAAGAGCAGCTAAATTAGCTTCACGGTTTTCTTTGATCTGTTCCATTTTCAGTATCAGCTTTTCCTCTGCCATTTTGCTGAAGTTATTGTTCTCCTCCAAAGCTTTTTGAAGCACTTCTCGCTCATGTTCTCTCTTCTCTGCCAGATGTTTCAGCACCTGGGCCTCCTGGGACTGAAAACAGAGAGACATGTGGCTTAAATACTCATGTGGAGCAAAATAACCCCTATAGGGCAACAGTTCACTGAGTTTGGAAACTGCATAAAGTTTGTTGCTTTTTTGTTACATGCACTGTTTGGAAAAATCAATTTTGTGAATAAATCAGATGAGTTTCAATAACAGGGGCTTAGAGGCACTGGCTAAATGTGGGGTACATGCCTGAGGAAGCAGCAGAGATATGTCCAAAGCACTTCTGTTAACAAGAAACGCTTTCATGTCACGATGACCCATTACTGCCCTGCGTCATCTGGATTACTGCAGTGGTTGCTCAACCTCTGACAGCTGCACACTTTTAACTATGAGCATTTTATTTGTAGAGATAGGGGACTTGGGGCTGAAGACACGTACAGTGTTAAAAGGGAGATTGCTAATGCAGGAGAGGTGCAATTTTCACTTGAGTTGGACTATTCTTTAATGCACTTGAGTAGTTAATAAGAGACTTTGAAGTTTACTGTTATGAAAGACAGGCAGCATCAATTCAATGTCTTTTTCCCATTATATTTATGTTTGGCTAAGTCTCACTGCTTAGGAAGGGAAAAAGAATTTTATTCTGCAGAAAATAACATAAATATTTTCAGTTAAAAGTTCAAATTTTGCAAGGAAGATGAAAACTGCAAGTAGGAATTAAACAGATGCAGGCTATGCTCAATATTGTGTTCTTCTTTGCAAACTCACTGCTCAGAAGCATAAGCTTTGTTATTTATTTTAAATCAAATTGCTAACATGAAACCATTAATCTTAGGAGAGAAGCCAAAAAACTTGCAGCATTGGGCCCATTCTCCTGGCAAGTCTGATTGAAAAGACAGTTATTTGGAAATGATAAACAACATCGTACACTTTTGGATAAAAAATAAATTAGAGGGAGCACAAGAAGTAAACAGAAAAGAGAGAATGAAATATGGCTCCGGGAGGCTAAGCGTATATTTCAGTGCAGATCTCAACACACTGTTGCCATTGTTATCTGTAAAAATGAATTAGTTTAAGGCCTAAATTAAGGGCTTTAACCGTTAATTACAATTAGCTGTAATGAATCCTATTAAATTCTGTCATGTGGCTTTAAATGGAGTGAAAAAGGCTGCAATTCTTTTATACAAAAAAGATCCAACTAGGAGGAGAAAACAAATATTTTAATGAAGGTAAGATACACATAAAGCCAAATGCACTGATGAGGAAAATTAAGGGGATCCTGGAAAAGGCTGCAAAGATCAGACAGAACATCTTGCAGCAAGACATTGGAGTAAAACTGGCTTTGAAAGGCTATAATGGCTTGCCTGAGATCATAGAAGAGAGCCACTGCCATCCATCCTGGACACTTAATGTATCTGCTTTCACCTCTGGCCTGGCTGCAGTTACAGGCTCATTTCTCAGATTGTGATCTCTGGAGCACTTGCTGATGGGAATGGTCTCCTGAAATGGCTGGTTCCTCACAAAGGCTCTTCCCCCCCATTATAGCATATGATGAACAGAGAGTAATACAGCAAACATTTTTCATCTCTTTGAGTCTCGTGTCAGATAAAATATGTTACAAATGGGAACAAAACCCGCCCAGACAGATGCAGCAAAACCAGGGAGTTTCAATGGTGGAATATGGAAGGAGGATGAGCCAAAGGCAAAAGGGCAGAAAGAGCTAGGCAAAGAAGGAATTTTCTAGAGTAACTGAAAAATCATAAAAGTCTGATAAGTTTAACAAAAATATAAAAGAATGTAATAATCATATAATAAAATAAGTTATTTTGAAGCAGACTATTTGATTCCAAATACTTAGAATTTAACAGTTCTTAACTGTAGGCTATTTCAAAATGTAAATAAAGTTATTTTGAAAGATTTGATGCACTGTAAAACTGAAATAATTAAACATCTTCATCTTGTTCTACCATTTTTGGATCAACTTGAGTGGCTCAGTTTGACCAGTGCTCGTGAAGTTTTTCTGTATTTTCTGTTTAATTTACTACTCAATGGCAACCTTTCATTTACTTTTGGAAAAGTTATTGCCATTAAATTTTGCTTGCTTACATGAATTTTGTGAACCCTTTGCTTAAGTCATCTAAAAGCAATGGATATAATCTAAGAATCTATTTCCCTTCCTGTTGGGAGTTTGAAAAGACACTATGAACCTAACTGTAACATCCTTTCCCATGAAACATCTAAGAAGTGACTTGTTAATTTGAAAGGCTAATGTTTCTCTGTGTTTAAATATGTATATATAATGTGTTATAAAATCAGACCTTTTCAGATTTGGAAAGCAGACATTTTAATGGACATATCCATACGCTAATAAAAAGTAAGATTTGGGCTATGCATATAAGCAGCATTTTCTAAAAGAGCATTGGCTTTCCACAGGAGGTAGTAAAATGCCTTTGAGACTTGGAGGAACTTGCCCATTTTTCAGGATTTGTTTTCTTCCATTCAAACCCTTTGCCTTCTGGAACTAATTGTTATCCTAAATACAAATGGGCAGTGAAAAATTAGAGTTTCATATAAAGTACACACATTTCTGGAGGCTATGCTGGTAGACAATACATTCAAAAATAATTTGTCCACTAAGGCATGATAATGAAGAAGATCCTTATACTGTAATTCAGTATTTACAGGATGCAAACTGTGTTGGCACCAGTAAGAGACTGTGTGAAAGCCGAACCAGGCCTCAGGAACTAACTGCAACCGTAATGCGATTTTCCTTTACAATATACCTTAAACAGCATATTGTGAGGTATTTTGAGTGAGGAAAATCACCAATACCCAGGACTGGTTCAAAATATAGGAACTCCCCTCCCTGCCACAAAGCACCCATGGGGTAGAGTATGATTTAGACTGATGTCCCTCCCCTAATGGCATTGTACCCCAGCTGTCAGTCTGCCTATTTCCCTAGTGTTCAGAACATTCTGAAATCCCCTTATGACAATTCTGGAAGGCAGCTGGTATGTTTTTGTACTGGATTGTCAAATAATCTTCTGTTTCTAACACATTTGGCAGAAGAACTTGGCCACCCTGTCTGTTCAAAGTCTACTACACATCCAGAAACGGGTAAATGAATGACCATGGATACCCAGGGGAGCTGGGATTAATAGACTCCCTTTGTTGTTTGTCTTGGCTTTTAACTGCTGTGTTTTGGTCTCACACAGTTCTGCAGTGATGCAGGATTCCAACATACATATGAAGTTTTTATTTCAAGTTTATTTTCAACATTGTATTGTTTGAAGTGCTGGAAAGGGTATTTTCAAATCCCTGATAGTCTATGTTCTAACATACTTGTAAATGGGTTACGATAAGCACTTCTGGTACAGCTGCTGTGAGAAAATGAGTAAAAAAGACTGGAAAAGGGGTGAAAGATAGAGAAGACTAATAAGAAGAGGAAAGTATGAAACAGTGGAGAAAGACAAAAGCAATACTCAAGAGGTAATATTCAGAAGACTTCTTAAATATTACAAAGCATAACCAATGAAGCACAAGCTGCAGAATCTAATGTTAGATCATAGAATCAAAGATTATAGAATGTCTTGATTTGGAAGGGATCTTAAAGATCATCTAGTTCCAACCCCCCTGCTATGGGCAGGAACACCTTCCACTAAACCAGGTTGCTCAAAGCCCCATCCAATCTGATCTTGGACACTTCCAGGGATGGGACATCCACAGCTTCTTTGAGCAATCTGTGTCAGTGCCTCACCACCCACACAGCAAAGAATTTTTCCCAACATCTAATCTAAATCTCCCTCTTTTTGTTTAAAACCATTGCTCCTTGACTTATCACTATCTGTCCTTGTAAAAAGTCACTTTCCCTTTTTCATAAGCCTTCTCTAGGTACTGAAAGGCTGCAAAGTAATGTGGAAGAATAAAAATGTTTATTTGTTAATGTTTAAATGTGGAGGAATAAAAATATTGGGAAACATTCCTGGTACGGATACCTTTGCTCCTAGAAACATACTGCTGTGCTGAAAGGATAGTTAATGCAAGCAAATTTCTATGATGTTCATGTCATATTTTGAAAGGATCATGTGCATCCTCAGTTTTTAGAGATGAGTAGTTCCAAAGGAAATCCAAATCTCTTACCTAGCTGGCCAGAGACATATGCAGACAACTAAACGCTCTCTTCATGAGCAAAGTTATTTATGGAAACCAGCTTTGGAGATACATACAGTTTTTAATTATCAGTCACAGGAAGAAAATTCTCCTTATCCAAGTAACAGGTGGTTTATTTTCTCACATTTATCTTTGTTTGACAGATACGTCCAAATATTGAAGTCATTTATATAGAGATAAAAGTAATCCTTTATTACTTTTAAGCAAGAAGTGGGCTTAGACAACTGCTTTTAAATTGGGAATTTCAGCTTGAATGCATTCACCTTAGTCACTAGCATCCTTATACTAGGATGTATGAGGCACATTACCAGTCATGAGAGTTCCCCTTTCACAGCACATTCATTCACTGGACTGAGTTTTTTTACAATTCAGTTATTCAAAAGAAGCTGCAATAACCTCAACATTCCTCAGTGTATTGTGTACTTAAGAGATACTATTAATACAGCAGAATGTGAAGACAAGAGTAAACACTCCTACTGCAATCTAAATGCCAGGGTGAAGCTTAGGTATGGTGACTTGAAGTACTGATGTTTTCATGGGAAGGAACTGAGGCACGGATTTTTCCATGAAAAAGCATGGAAATGGACTCTAAAATTAGACTTCACTCAGAAATACCCATATGGCAGGAGACATCTGAGCTGTAATCATAGGTGAAGTTCTGCTGCTGGCGAAATTAGGTGGTGCAAAATTTTGCTTATATTTACGTGAGGATCTTTTTATTTTTTCATCCAGTCTGCCAAGGGACCTATGGATCAAGGTTCCTAAGGATGTGGAGCGAAAAAAAAAAGGAGCCCATCCATGATGTGATTCAAGAAAACTCACCTTCGCTTCCTCAACTGGCACATAATTGCTGCTCTCCATGTTGTGACCCATGGGTGTGAACAAGGCATGTTGGAGGGATGAAAGAAGTACCACCTGTGCCCTCTGCCTGATGCTCCCCTAACTACTCATGAGGCATTTTGTGATCTGCTGCACTCCTGTGTGCTTTGAGACAGACCCTGGTGACTAAAACAAAATCTTCTCCTAGTTGGTAGCAAATATCTTCCAGTGGGCATGTATTCCATAGACTTTTGCTTTTTTGACAACAAACTGCAAACTGGCTTGCAGTTTTGGCTATCTTTTGTAAACATTATGAGTGAAGCACTGTATATGGAAACACTATTGAGTATTGTGGCAGAAACATCTGGTTCTGGTGCTGATTACACTTATTATTGGGACCTTTACATGAAAAACCACTTCATGCTGAGCAGCAACAGAAAGGGAAATCAGTAGGTAGGCAACATAGGGGACAAGTGTCATGGGCAGTGCCTATCCTCCCTGCCAGCCTGGTTGCCTACAAATCTGATGGGAAATCGAAGAGAGGAGCAGGAATGAGACGGAAGAAGAAAGCTCCACGTTTGCCAAGGAAGGTGTGAATCCTTTCTCTGCCTCTTCTCTTACCTGGAGTGGCAGTTTTGTAGGTCCCATGCAATATCCAGGAGGGAACACTTGTCCCCCAACTCTGCTGCCTTCCCTGCCCTGGCAAAGGCTTTTCACCCATTAGCCTGATGTACAGTGTGTAAAGCATGGATGGCTTTTTCCATGCCAAAGGAGATACGGATTAAGAGTATCAAGAGACACCTCCGGCTGTGGGGCTGGCTCAAAGGGGCAGTGGGCTGGGTGCTGAAGCCTGACGCAGAGTTTGGTCATGATGCTGGCAGAGATGCCCTGGACTGGCTCCTGCTGTGGGGAGATTATCTTGTGCCATTTCATAGTGATGGTATTAAAAACTCATGTAGCTATAAGTCTATATCCAACAGCATGAAAGTTAAAAATTATGACTGTTCTCCTGTATTCGTTGTAGTGCTAAGTTCTAGGGATGAGCTTGATTCAATTTCATCCCAATACAAAGCCATTAAAAGGATTTAATTACATACATTTTCTCTCCCATAATCCAAAGTCTAGTAGAAATGCACATTTCTACTAGAAAAACCATATTTCTACCAAGAAAAACTTCCGCATACAATGTCACAGTGCTCTGATTTCTTAAGTGAGAAGGATGAAAAAATCCTTCTGCTTATCCATCCAGGTGGGAAAATATAGCACACCTATGCTGAAAAAGTAGTGGGATAATAATGACATACTGTAGAGAGGATTCTATAAATGGAAAGGACGAATCTGTAACTAGCCCAAATGAGTCTCGCTGTGTGGTGCAAAATGAAAAAATGCCTCAGGTGAAACCCTGATTTTGGTCTGAGAGTATGAGGTCATGGTTGTCAATGGAGGTAGAGAAAAAGGGAGAGAAAAGGAAAGCGGAGTCTTGTAAAATCTTGCAAGGAAATAAACAAGAATGATAAAGAGGAAACAGCTAAGCAGGAGACTGCTGAAGTGTATGTATTGCTGTAGATGTTCTCATGAGTTTGAAAATTTATTAATGAACACTACCTAACTAACAGAGCAGAATCTAATTCCTAAACAGTGTGAAATTCATTAGCATTTTTTCAAAAAAGGCAATTCTCATCCATTAGTTATACTTGATTTTAATTAGAACTGTGCTGGAAGGACATGATCTAGAACGGTCATACCTGACAGCTCTTGTACATAGATTGAAAAGTATGATAACAACTGCTATGGTGGCTGTCAGAAAAAGTCTGCCTGGTTTGTCTAGCAGCCAAAAGTAGAAGATACTTAGAGCTCTAGATGAAGCTAGGCAAATCTGCCTGGTTCCTTCCTTGAGATATATATACACATATATATTTCTAGCTTTCAGCAGTCAGCACATTACACACATTCTGAGTCAGAAGTTGCATTCATGTAATAATTTCCTGCAATGTAGTGGTCTATCGATTTTGAACTAAATAATATTTTAATAATCTCTAAACAGTCTGTGATAACAAATATACCTTGAATAAAGAGTACATAAAAAGGTGATTCCTTTTGGAAATTGCTGTCTGATTATTTCCTTGAGTGTTTCGCCTCCTTTGGATTGTGTGAAACAGAATATAATTGTTCTTATTCATCTTCTCATTACCATTCATGACTTTGTAGACTTCTATCTTATCTTTTACCTGTTGTGTCTTTCCAAGCTGAAAAGTGGACTACTTAATTTATCTTCTTATGGAAGATTTTCTGTTCCTCTAATTGCTTTTTTATCCTTGTCTGCACTATACTCCTTTTGAGACCAAAAATGAAGCTAGTAGTTGAGATGTGAGAGCACCAGGGATTTAAACAGTGATGTAAAGAAGCTTTTTGCTCTGTTCTTTGTTCCTTTCCCAGCAATTTCTGTTGCAATGCTAATGTGAAGGATCTTGTCTATTAAAATAACTCAGTTATATGTTCATTCAAAATGAATGTAGTACTAAGGGGAAGAAATGGCAGGTGTCTGTATTGCTATCACTGATTACCAGTCTATTGCATAATGAATTTTTCTTTCGGAAGAAATGAACAGTAATGAAATCAATGGAATGAAATTTGTGGAACATTCAATTTATATTTATCACCAAGTATATGCATAATATCAGGCTTTTTGATTGCTGCCATTTAATTCTGTGTCCATATCTTTACTTGAGCATTTGTACTCAGCATAGAGGAACTTCACGCATGGAGTTTTTGGGGCATATAATCACTTGGATGTGTGAGAGCTCATACTTTGCAGCAGGTGCTAGTGCAAATGCATATCCTTTTATACACAGTCATGTCCTTTTACTGAATTGAATACTTTGGCAGAAGTATTTCTTTGAAAGACGCAATAGTGCTAATGAGTGTGCATTAGAACCACAGAGTCTTTGCTAGCAAGCCGGCAGAAATGGCAAAAGTGGCAACACTGCAGTGCTCATCTAAATGAATTGTTCAAATTAGCAAGGTCCAGAATAGTCAGGTTTCACTGCAAATCAAAGCTGAGGGCCAGGTTTTAAGGACCTGTCAATAATCCAGACCTACTGACTCCAGTAGACACACATCAAACCCTACACCAGTGTAGTTTCTTGGCAGCAACCCTGATCTGGTCTGACAGGAGTGAAAGGAGAGTGGAGCTGCTTTTCTTGGATCTGATCCATGTGCTATCCGCAGCATAGCTGCTGTCCCTGGACTTCTGTACACATTTTTGTCCATATTGGGAAAAGTTCTGTAAAAATCAGTTTTAGTAACGAATCATATTTTTTAAAAGATAAATGAAAGGCTTAAAGACATATAAGCTTTTTTCATTTTCAGATACCTTCTACCAGGGACTCTGTGGGCAGGTGGAAGAGATTTCCAACTCTTATTTAACTAGTGCAAGCTGATTTGCCACAAAATTACACTGATCTTCTGGCTGAAGGGCACAGAAAGTCCTTCTGTGGCTCCTGAGGCTTCTGTGCCTCTCCTTTTGTGCGACAGCAAAAGGAAACATGAATTAACCAGGAAAATATATTATCGACCTTGAATTTTCTGTGGTCATTGCAGCCAGTTTTGATTTTCCTGAAATGGTGCAACACGGCACAAATGCTGGGACCACATAGGACATTGATAATTTCCAGCCTGGCAATTCAGGTTGGCTATGGTGTCTCATTGGCTTTGTCTGTCATCCTCTGACTTAGCTGATCTGGAATTTGTTTTTTTCTCTTTGGAAAAAGAAAAACCAACCTGATCTAGCTCTGACTTAGAGCAAACGAAGACCTCTTCAACACATCAGCCATGATGAAAGCCAAATAAAGAGTTAGTTGGGACTTCCTGCTCCATTTGTGCCAACTTTGTGAAGAAGGTGTAGCAACTCTTCCAAACACTTTTGTGACAAACTTACTGATTATGAAACAGGACTTTACCATTATGGGTAAGGTCATAAAGAAAGGAAGACTTAATCTGTGGAAAACCCTACAAGGCCAACTTCCAGCACTACTGAGACTGCTAGAAACGCCTCTTAATAGCTGTACTATGCTAGTGTCTTCATTGAATGATCCAGAACATGCTTTATTCAGGGCTGATGTTCCTCCACACTGCATAAATAAGACATTTAAGCTGCCTCAGGCAGGCCTTGTGAGAAATTCTCATGGGCACTACCTGGTAGCTGAGACAGCAGTTGATTGAATTATACATCCATCTCTTAAACTCAGACACCAGAAGATTTGTACTGGTTTTCAGCAACTATTATAGATGTCCTGAATGAACCACTTAACTTATATTCACACAGTAAGCATGCGTATTTGAGCCCACCTGGGCTCCTGCCTGAAGTTATCTGTAATACGTGATGCATGCTTCCTCAGCATCAAAACCAGTGAGGCTTGTTTGCAAGCTGCTGAAAGAAAATACACTCATGCGTTTCTTTAAACACGTTAATAACTTTTATCCATGCAGGCCATTGTGAGTCAGTGATGTCAGCAGAAAACATACCAATGGACAGGAAACTTGGCTACTATCCTGTACACTGTCACATCTAATTATTGGCTTTTTTTTTTAAGGAAAGATACCTTTCTCCTCTCCTCTGCAGCCTCCAGCTTTTTCTGGATCTCCTCAAGAGAGAGTTCTTTCTTCTTTGGAGAAGCTAAAGTTCGTGGTGCTTCTGAGACTGGAGATGGCGGCTTTAGGATCAGTTCAAAGGCCTGGCCTGAGGCACGTTTGTTGATTTGTTTCACTTCCATGTCTGCACAATAAAGTGTGAAATGGTAAGTCCTTCAATAGGCCAGCAGTATCGAGGGGAGATCAGAAGCACCGACAAAAGATTTAGCATCTTTGCCTTGGGCATTTTAAATGCAATGGCATATTATGGGCTGAAAACTGTTCTCAGGAGTACATTACATTTTATGTGTAATAGCTTAATTATACCTTAATGTCATAAAGATAAAAATTTACAGCAATTTTGGAAGCTTATTGGGGTTCTGTGTCATTTCACACCCCTAGCGAGCAGTGCCCAAGCTGATTAATTTTTTAAGTCATGCTTTCATCTTTTCTTCATTTCTTTGGGAATTATGTCAGCTATGAAGAGCCTTAATTCTCAAATGGGGAGTAGGGAAAGCACAGCTCAGTATGAGAGGGATAGCTTTAAAAGTTTAGTTAGCTGCTATTAGGAACAACATCCAGCATCATCTACAATCAGTAGACAGTAATAGCCCAAACTAGTAAATAAATGGTTAAATCAACAAAACATTCACCGACTAACACTGTGGACTGTGAGGTGAACTGAGTCATTTTCCAGCACTAGCACATTATCTGACCTGCAGGATGATTTCCAGAAAATGTCACTCACCATCATATTTATAGATGTTCATGTTGCGAGGTTCCGGGTAAAAACAGGAGCAGATCAGAGAGAGCATGGACAGCTCCTTCATCTTTTCCTTGTAAGCTGAAAAGAGAAATCTTGTTAGCATGCTTCACTTCCCCAGCTCCTCCTTAGTGAATTTCTAGCTGAGACGACTGGCTGGGGACCAGCAAACATGCTCTATCACCCACCTGGCAGATTTGTCTAGAATATTTACTTTCAACTATTTCTTCTTGACATTGGACCTTTATCAAATCACGCATCTGATGCTCAGCACTGCAGGGACAGCATCGCACCTCCTACATGACCTCAGCCTTGGGTGTAATGCAGACAGTCCTACAGAAAGTGAATCTGGCTACCAGGAAATGTATTTAGCATTGGAAGAGCACCATGACTCCACTCTTTCCTGGCAGGTGGAGAGAGAATGAAGCTCTTACAAATTCTCTGATGTATCCAAATGCAATTGAGAACAGCTCTGAAACACTGCCCATGTATTGCCATAGGCAGATGCTGAAGACATAATCTGTTACAAATGAAAATGTCATCCAGATAATTAAAAATAAAACCAGAAATGAGGATACATTTATCAAATCCCTTGTGTAATGTCCTTAATATGAGTAACTACTCAAAACAAAGCTTTTCGTTCACCACTTACTGGCCAAAATATGTTGTTTTTATACTCAGGTCTAGTGTATATCATCTGATGCAATAAATACCCTTGTAGTTTACCTTTATGTTGTTATCTTTACTGACTTTGTAATACTGGTAGGCCCCAGCTGTGAACTGAGGCATCCCTGGTCTAGAAATGGTGATACCAATACCTAATCATTATGCAATGTTCTGCGATCACCTTTCTAAGTGCTTTTAAGTAGAAAAAGAGTCTTGTACTTGGTCACTTGGCAAGTCAGTGACTAGAGCCCAGCTTTCCTGAGTCCTAAGGCTTTACCCTAGTCACTGCCTACACTGCATAATGCATATATATAAAAGGGGGGAGTGTGATCAAAATTCGTCTTGGCACACACAAATCTCTGCTACTATCAATATCATATCTACAGAAGCAGACACTCATTTGCTGCCAGCATGTGAAAACATGTCTTAAAATATGTGTGACTGAAAGTATTGTACTTAACAGATTAGACCAAATGAACCCATGATGTTGCTAAAGAAAAACCAGACAGTCCTTTGACCTTCAAACTGTGTGTACACATGAAATTGTCAATCAGCCTTTCTAATGGATGCTCTTCTGGTTTTTGAATTTGTTTCTCCTACTCAGAAAGGGCCCTGAGGTTGAAGAGGTCTTGGCAGCCTTTGGATGCTGCTCAATATGGTGGTATTTGAAAGATCCATAGTTCAGGAATGGATTTCTAGGTGTTAGTTAAATGATTAGTTAATCCAATTAAACTTTGCATGGGGGCTTCTAATCATGTACCTTGAATAACCCACCTAAAGGACATTTAGCTTTTCAGAAACCATTGGTAAAAGCCAGTATCTCAGGTCAAGAGTGTACTGAAAATCTTGTTTTGTGGGAACTTAGGCTGCCAAGGAAGCTTGGGCTTGACAAGACTTTGGTTTAAAAGCTAAGTACCAACTTACAAGGAATAACTCAAAAATCTTCTGAAGAGAAGAATAATGTCCAACTGATGTCTGTTGTCAAACAAAATTAATTGTTTGCTTAGGCCTCCATCTAACAAGCACAAAGGTGTGGTTGCCCAAACTACCCTTTGAGGAGGGCTTGCCCAGTCAGCTGCCCACACCACTGGACTTGCAACCTTTTCAGCAGCAAGGTTATGGAGTGAATGCACAGTAGACCCTGGAAGGTTGCTAAACATAGAGAAAATGGACACTGGGTTGAGTGTTAAAGACATGGCCATTGACAACACAAGCTGAAAGCTAAATGTGCTTGTACAAGATCTGCCAAGTCATTGACAAAATGTATACCTTGAAATATCTTTGTAAAAAGAGGCATATAAAGCAGCATCCTAGGAATTTTGCCTTTTGGGACCTTTGTTATTATTATTTATCTTTGCTTGACATTAAATTTGTTCTGGTTTCTAACAGCATTTAAAACGATTAGGAAAAGGTGTTTGTTCTCCCAGCTTGCCATCTGCAAAACACAGCTGGAGAAAGATAAGAACATGATCAGCTCTCTTTCCTTCAGTGCAATAGCTTCACTGAAAGCCCATTGGTAAAATCATTGTCCTATTTAATTCTGGCCACTGACAGAATTAGGATGACTTTCCATACTTTACAAGAATTACATTTTCTTTTTTCATGGTATTGATTTAGTCTTCATTTGCCCTTTAGAGTTCTTCAACCGTAACTGGAACTTGGCTCGAATACCCACAGAAATTCTGGAGGCTGCTGCAAGCCTGGGAACCAAACAACCTGCCATGCTGGTAAATACTGCTTTTCCTGTTGTAAACTTAAAGGTTGAGGGCATCAAAGGAAATGAGGAGCTACCCTTCTCCTCAAGTGTCCAACATCAGCATCATCATGACGTCCCCCTCAACCAAACTTACTTGGCAGCATTGAGCAGCAGGAGCCCTGCTTTGCTTAGCTGTCCTTTCCTTAAACATTTCCTTAAAATACATTAAAAAACCTGAAAGCAGTAATGTTAGCCTGCTTAGTGGTCTGATTAAAGTGGCTGGTCCATGTCACACACTTTAGACTGGAAGGTAACTGTACTTTCCCAAATCCCAAGTGTTTAGTGTTTTAGCCGTGGAAGCCTGTTCTCTCAAAAAGAAAGGTTCTTCTATTAAGAAAGCAGCACACACAGACCAGACAGCCAACAGCACAGCATTTGTGCACAGGACCTCTTGTGTAAACTGAAATAGGCACAAAAATTACCTGCTATAGTGGAGCTTTTAAAAACTCTTAAAGACACGCAGTGATTGCAAGGAAGTTTATTTTCCAAATGTGTTTCAACTGGCTGGCTAATTATATATGTCCTTGTGCAGTCATGTAGGGTACATATCATTCCATTAACTGTGCAAGCTAAATGAAGGAAAGTAAATTATGGTAATCGTAACATTACAAAAGCTTTGATAGGGAAATTGCTAGGAAAGAACAATGTTGATAAAAGATGGCAACAGAATCTTTTTAGTTATATGCAGCAAGATCTAAATGTTTATATGCACTAAAAACTTTAAAGCTGGACAAGAGAAGAACACTGATTTTTGTTTAAAAAAGAAGAGAATTCAATATTAGCAATTCTTGCAGTTTTGCTGTGAATATATTAGTATTTATAGGCCTTCTTAAATTCTGAAACTGCGTGATTATTTCAGAATCTCATCTACTTTTTTAAAAATAAATTCCTCATATTCAGAGTTGCAGAGAAAAACCTTAGAAATACTATTAAATGCCCCTAAAAGCTTTGACAGCTTCAGAGAAGAGTAAACCCAAATGGCTTTGAAATTCAAGAATGTGTTTGGGTTTTTTCTCTGAACGAGTCCCAAATGTACCTTAATATCATTGTTTTAAGCCAAACTCACCCTTTACTCAAACTTTAGGCATTATTTTTAAGAGCTACCTTTAGAAACTGTGAAATTACTCCCTGTGTTGGGTGAACATCCATGCTCTTCCATTGTGGGCTCTTTACTTGCTGGTCCAGGTAAAATCTTCACATCAACCAGCACTACATCTGCATGAGCAAGAAGGGAAGCACAGCAACACTGGATCTCTGGGGGGAAACAATTCTAGGGATTTAATTTCCACACTGTATAATTTTGGGGATCTTTTCTTTAAATTAGTCTGGTCTCATGACCTGAACAACCATTAGGGCCATGGGCACAGTAGATGTACTGCTAGTACACACCTTCCAGTTTCATTATCAAGTAAAACAGTTTGTGCTCCAAGATTTCTCTGAGGTGTGAACCAAAGCATGGTCAACTGGGGTGTTTTGATGATCCTCTTTGAAAGTGCTCTATTGATCTCAAATAATATGTTTATTCAGACACATTCCATATTGCTCCACTGATGACAGAAAATAGCCCATGGCCAGTCCTGCAGCTCACTTGCCTGAGGAGTGAAGCTACTAAGGCACAGTCCTATGACTGCCATTAGAAGTCAGCAATCACTTATTTACTGCTGGGAGAAACAGGAAGGTTAAGGAAAACACTGTTAAAACCATCCTGTTTGTTCTCATCTGTTATCCAGTAGCTATAAGGAATTTTTTACAGTTTACACTGTAAAATGAAAATCTGTCCTGACTGATGGGCCATGGGCAATTTGGGTCACATTTTGTTCCTTGGCAAAAGCACAGCTCAGACAGATTGCTGTGTCACAGCAGAGACCATTATTCATAAGCAAGACTATTTTTAACATGTGAAGGCAGAGAGAAAAGTGTAAATGTTACTTATAATCAACATTGATTTTTGTTAAACCCATCCCATGGAATACAAAAGAAGCTGTTTGCTTATGCAAAGACTGTCCATTAATGATTTTCTTGTATCTATGGAGCACAGATAAAAACACATGCAAACATGGTGACTGGAGGGAGGCACAAGTCTGACTAAAAATTGCCCCTAAATTTACAACTTAATCTATCACTTATCATGACTATGGCTTTTTGGACAAAACCAGACTACTCCAGGTGTCGTGTCTGTGATTTTTACTTAATGTGTGTGTGGTTAGAGTCAAACGTCTTTGTTTATTTTATGATGTCAGAATGTTAAGATGTAAAGTTACTATTTTGTATTATTTCAATGTATGTAATTTTCACTGCTGAAACAATGAAAAAACCCATTTACTGAACTCTAACTGTTACAGTCATCTGTGACATGAGTTAATGGGACTATTTTTTTGAGCTAATGCAATTGCATTGTCAAAATGAGATTTTGATGGAAGGGGTTTTTTGAATTTGGAAAAATATAAAAATCTTGTCATGGTTACTCAAAACAAAGAGGGATGCAGATGCTTTGCCATAGTCACACTGTGCTTCTTGTTTATTGAAATGAAAACACACACATTACCTTCTAGTGCAGAAGGAATACAACAGACATGTACCTGTCCAGAGCCTCGGGGCCCTGACAGCCTCACCACACTGCATGCTGTGGTGACATGCCTGTTCTGGGAAGAACAGACAAGAAAGCCGTGGGTTAGCTTCTCATTCCTCAGCTCTGCAGAAACTAGTCTGTAGCAGTGGAAGAGTCAGATGCTGCACTCTCTTCTAAGCCATCCCTTTGCATCACACCAGCATGAGGAAGCCCTTGGCAGTTCAGTTCCAAAAGTCCTCTCAGACTGAGGGAAAGGCAAAGGACCAAGCGCTAATACAGAGGACTGTGGCCCTCCTGAAATTCATTTGAACTTAAGAGGACTTCAGCCAAGGTGAAAACAAAAATTCTAGAGATCTTTTTTGTTTCCCAAGGGGAGAAGACCTTCTTTAAGGTCTGCTTTGCCTTTAAAATTTATCAAGGCTTCGCCCCATATTTCCCTCTGTATTTCCACACCCCATCTGCCTTCCCCTAATTTTCTCCCCATAGAGCTTTTTCTGTAAGAAAGGATGTGAGTTACTAAAACAGACTTTGAAGACAATGGGGAAGACAAAGAGTGAGGAATGAACTTAAAGGCTACAGTACACCTAAGACAGCTTTATTTTCTGCTGGTTAACTGAACATAATGGTTTAATTTTTGTGCAGTGAGAAGTTCAAACCCTCTTCAGGCAGTTTGGCAGGATGTTGATATTTAAGGTGCTGAACTTATGCCTACCTTCACAAGAGGCCACAATAGACACAGATAGTTCCTGATTATCATGTAAGTGTGAAAGTCATATGAACATCAATAGTTTGAAAATCTTTAAGGCAGCCCCAGCCAGTAACCATTCTGCTATTTGCTGTCTCCTGTATTGTGTGGAAGCAAAAAAGACTGTGCAAATTCAGCTACAGGATGATGTGAACCAAAAAGATTTTCCTGAACATGAACTGTATGGAAAAAGGGAATAGGCCATAGCAGCAGCACCAGGAGGAAATAATCCTCCCTATTTGGCTCATCTTACCTGCTTGAGACCTGTTGTTGGTTTTGTTACATACCTGTGCACGGAGCAAACAGTCTCTTTTGACTGGCATCGCAACAAGCTTGGCTCTGTCACACCTCACAGAAAAATCTGTTTTACTTTTAGTTTAGTACTCCTGTTAGAGTAGTAGTAAGGATTCTGTATGCATCATTCTGGGTCTGATCCTATCATAAATTTTCCTGTTCTCAAGAAAAATCCCTTTCCCCTGAGGTATCACTTAGAGTCTTACATGAACAATTTAAGAAACAAAACCTCGAGTTCTGGAGTTTTTGAATGGGTGAATTTGCTTCCCATGATCTAGTGCTCACTGTGTATAATGTATTTCTTTTGCACCGTATGCCTGAAGAGTTGTGACATACCTTTTTACCAGTACACAAAGCCATTAAATTCTTTTACTTCTGAGACAGTTTACATATAAAATGGCTTAAAAAGCCAGATATTTCACTGCAAAGTTTCCACTACCATGGCTTTGAAGATCGCTCATGGTAAGCAGCATTGAACCAGGATCTCAATCTCCATGTAGGCTGTAAAACAGTGTTTTTAGGAGTCCTGATGCTTATGTCTGAAGGCCAGGGAAGCAGAAGGCTTTTCAGAGACTCTCCTTAACCAAACCACCCCAGTTTTGCTGTACATGGGTTATTTTGTCTTAGCATTTCTGGGATTGGGGTTACCAACTGTACTAGCCTGCCATAAGAGCAACCTAGTGGAGTTTGCTTCAGGAGTTCCTTGCAATAGGATAAGCCCAGATTGCTGATCCTTCCCTCAGAAGTGGCCATGTAGTGCTTAGGAGCTCCCTGAGCCGTGCTTTTTCCTGGGTGCAAATCTGTGGTGCTTGGCTTGGTTCTGGGGCCATGATGGCAGCTGAAGCACCAGGGAAGGACTTGCAAAAGAGTTGGAACTTCTTCAGTGTCTTTATAAGTGTGGGGTGGGGAGAACTGGGTTACAGACTGGAAGCTGCCAAGCCTGCAAGCAGTCCCCTTTTCCTCAACAGCCCTGGCATGCAGGCATCAGCCACCACAACAGCAGCACATTGCTGCTGAACCGAGCACTAGTGGGAGGTGAAATTTCAAGTCCCTGTGTTGGGCACACTGATCTCCCCTAGAGCATCAAGCAGAGCACCCAGCAGAACACCCAGGGCTAGGCCATCAGAGATAGCTGCTGCCTCCCAGTATGCTCTTCAGGTCATCTCGTCATTCCATTGTGGGAGCATGCAGAGGCCCAGATGAGATCTGCACTACTTTCTGTACAAACTTGTCAGATGCAAACACCTTATGCCAAAGAGCTTATGGTCTAAATGAGAAAGACAGGCAAGGGATGCTGGGAAAAAAAACAACCCAGAAGTGAAAAAAAACCTGCCTCAGGTCATAGACCTGTTCTGTAGGAAAGCTTCCTGGGGAA